ACTAATCAATGGCGAATTTTTAGAGATTAATAACAATACATAAATGAAACTTTCTATGCATTTATTTCTTCTTTTGCAATTTGTTTCGGGTCTTGTCGTTCATTGACTGGACTATTAAGCCAAAAACATGCATATTATGTTATAATGTACAAAGAAGCCTCTTCCAAGCCGTTCGTATGACCAGTATTCTTTTTCTCTGGCTCCTTTATACATAAAGCAAGCATACTAAATTCATAGTTTTGATGCCTTTTCTCAAATTGTGAATGTTTTGGACAATCTGGATCTCAGCCTTCTAATGTTGTCGTCGCCCGAGTGGCGCAGTGTTTAGAGCATCTACTCTCGAAGTCGCGAAGTAAGGAGTTGATCCTTACGTCGCGGGTTCGAATTCCACTGTGGGACTGGTCCTTTGGATTACACCGTATAAACAGAGGTCCCATGTCGCAGGAGATGCTGACACGAAAATGATCCCTCACTGCAAATTGATGACGACGAGTTTGTCAACAAATCTTGTTGCACCATTTGATGCACCCGAGGTATATACATTGTTTTTCAATATTTAGAGACGATATGAATTTCTTGCAATCTTGGTACATTTTACAGAAGTTCTATGGGGTTTGGTTTTCGATTTGCCTAATTAATGAAAAAAGGCAACAACGAGTAACTACATGTAAGCAGTTTCTTGTAAATTTTTCCCCATAAAACTTGTTACCCATTGTCAGATAGGGCATGAAATGGTTTTCAATCAACCGTGACGATGACGTTAACGCGAAAAAGAGTCATGTTACGAGTGGGTAATTCGGCCTGTCATCTCTTAAATCGCCACCTTACTACCCCCCTAAACCGCCTTTTATACCGTAGACTCTTGTAATAATTACATTTACACAATAAATGAAAGAAAATAATTTCGCAATTTGATTTTTTGAGCCGGTCAACTTATTGTTGTGTTCCTCTCACTGGCGCATGCGCGCGTCGCATGAATAATTTTTTGGCGTTGTTTCCCATACCCAATATAGCCAGGGATTGAGAGATAGTTTCATGATAGATGCGCGAGAGAGACATTCAAGATAATGAGAGTTTTTGATTTTCACTTTGGGGGGGGGGGGGGGGGGAATCGTCATATGAGCTTCTATTAAACAAAATCAAATGGGATTTTGTTATATCTTTTTAAAAGATGATTTTAAAAGTTAGATTGGAATACTGAAAAAAATTAAAAGAAAAATTAATTTAATTCACCTCAAAAGTTTACCGTGCGTTTCTTTTTCCTCAGTATACTTTCATCACCTACATTCGGAGTTTACATATCTTAGTTGATTCGATTCGCAAGAGCATGCTCTACGTATGAACAATTTAATTTCTAAAACAGGGTAAACTATTGACTGACGTTTTTCATTGTAATTCTCGGTCCATTATTTAAGGGGGCCGACTATAGTTTCCATTGCGCAATATTTCGCGCATCATAGTAAAATGAAGCGTATTTATTGTTTTAATGCAATTTTTTTCGCTTAATTATTAAAATTAAACAAAAATTAAGAAATTATAGGTATAAAAATGTAATTACAATTCGATATAACTGATTTTTTTTAATTCGATTTGGCAATTGATAGGTAGGCTGACGTCGTTGCAGTGTCTTTTTGACGTTATGGTAATCTGCAGCTCTTAAACAAAGGGGTAATAAAAATATTATTACAGAAAAAGTAATAAACATACGGTCTTGAAATTTAAAACATAGAAATTTTAGAATATCTCCAACATTTTATAATGTTTTCTTGTGAATCCATTGTTTACGTCATATTTTGTAGTACTCTATAAAAATAGTAAAATTTGTTAATTTTTTGCATTTTGAGATGATCCTCTCTTAACAAGAAGGTAGAATTTTGTGTTTCTTACATATATTGTATCATATAGTATTACTCATAAAATATTATAGTTTGAACAAAATGTCTATTGTAGTATTTGTATAATTTGCTTTAAAGTGCTAAAAATTGGCATTTTCCAACATAATCCTATAGTTAATGTATCTGTATTTTGAGACGGTCCCTCAAAAATACCTGGACGGTAAAGATTTTCCCCAAACTTTGCATGTACACTGAAGTTATTGTAAGTTATATATGGTATAAAAATGAAGAGTTTCGCTATTGTAGTTTTCACACAATAAAACTATAGTCGGCCCCCTTAAACACTGAATTTTTCTGGGTTTTTTTTTCCCGATCATGACAAGGAGCACACGGCGGGTGTGACCGGTCGGCAGAGAATACTCACTCCTCCATGGCATCTGATCCCACCTCTGATGTTTGAGAGGTCCATATTTGCTCTGCTCCTATTTTGTATTGTTTATGGAATTTTGAACTTGAAAATACTGTCTGTTTTATCCATTTGTTTCTACGAAAATCCTCTCAGTTTCCTGGGTATGTAGAGACGTTATCTAAGTATTAATTATAATGAAGGATGCATTTTTTGAAAGATATAGTTTATATTTGCAACGGTGTGTGCAAAAAAATTGAATTCAATTTGACTATGACGTTATGAGGTTATAGACGTTAATTGTTTTCCGTACTATCAGACTTTAGCGTGTCAAATCATTGGAGTTTAGCGCAGACCTTCGGACCTTGTCGTGACCATATAACTTTGCAGTCCCGTAGCAGTTTGGAGTCATATATATAAAAAGTAATTATCCCAATAGATAACAAAATATTTAATGCAAACGCTATCGCCATGTACGCCTTTTCAGGCACTTTCAAACAAATTTCAGGAAGGTAACTTGGTTACGTCGACAAATGTCAGATAGGTTACCTGGTATATTTATATTACGTTTTTCAAATCCGCTACATTGAAAGAGGGAATTGGTTTGCTGTAATTAAGTGCCCAAGCAATACAATTTTGCTCAGGTTTAATAGCAGTATTAAAACTGACTAGTAAACGAAGGTACTTTGTAAATTGTTAATGAATTCTAGGCTGGCTGTTTTCTTTTCTCTCTAACGGTTAGAAATCTTTATTTATACTATTTAGAACCTTTACAATATTTTATCAAATTAAGGTGACCCTTAAATGGCCCTTTAGTTTCTTGATTTTTTTCTCTTTAATATCTTTTCAGATGTTATCAGAATTGCTAATGGTAGCTCTTTCCATGAGGGTCGTGTGGAAGTTTTCATTAATGGCAAATGGCGCACTATTTGCAGCAGGAATTGGAACAAAGCTGATGCCAATGTGGCTTGTAGAAGTTTAGGATACAAAGGGTTATTTTATGTTAATATTTTGTAAAAATAATGTAATTAAATTATGGGATGCCATGTTATTGAAACATTCCTTTACCATTAAATAATTACATATAGTACTTATAACACCATTTATCATTGGATGAAAAAAAATATGAAAAATTTAACTTTTATGTGTCAAGCATATTACGAGATTTTTCAAAATGAGCTTTGCACTGATTTATGCAAAAAGAGATAAGCAATACATGTATTATGCATTTTTCATACATTATCTTTCGATTTAAATGCCGTTCTTTCTAAATGAAAATACAGTTGTAATACAATATATTTACTATTTGTAATGATTGTCAAAATATAAAATTTTTATATAATTTTCCTTTGTTTTCTTCTTATAAATAATATATTATTGATTATATGAAACCTTCATTGATGCGTATAAATGAAAAATAATAACTTTTGAATGCCAAATGTTGTGACTTTTTTTGCTATATTTGCAACCCGAGGTTAACATTTTTAAAACGGGTTTTAACATTTGAATATGTTTTATATAAAGCATCTTCACGAGGTCTTTTAATAATATGTGAGACATCATTGCGGTAAATTCCATATACTCATTCTTTACAGTAATTCATGGTAAGTATCCATATATCCTCTTTTCTAGAGGACTCCCAGTAACTTCACCTGTGTTGAGTGAGGAAAAGGACAATTTATGGATGTTGGGCGATGCATCTTGTTCCGGAAGCGAATCGTCTTTGTCAGAATGTCGAATATCAGTGATAAAACCCAGTCAATGTATTAATGATGGACAAGCCGGAGTCGTTTGTCAGCAAAAAAATGAAGGTACGTGACAATAATAAACGCCTGATGAAATTAAAAGTGTAGATATGAAGTTTGGTATTATATATATTTTTAAATTGTGAACAATCCTTTTGTTGGATGCAAGTCAGTAACGATGTACGAGTATAGATGAATGGCCGGTGTAACGATGAATATTTAGCGTATGATTCATATTTGACCGGGGTAGAATGTTTTTGTCCATCATTCCGACTAATATTAAGAATGCCATACTTTAGTTTTATAATTAATGGTCAATTGAAAAATGGTAGTTTTATTTAATGACCAAGTATAAGTTTTGTTTTAAATCAGGCCTGAACATCTTGTATTCCCTAGATTATGAATTATTGCATAAAAAGTGATCATAGTGTACATAACTAACCAATAACACCGTTTTTCTGTCTGGTTATATTCTTAAAATAAAAATAACCAGGAGCTTCTAAAGGCTTTGCCCCCTGAGGACCAACAGGACTTTGCCCTAGATCCACTTGGGCCGGAAAGCAGCCTCCAGTCTTCAACAGATTTATTTTATTATCTTCTACTGAGTGTACTGAATTGAGAAAGTGTTATTCTCTTACAATATTGTTTGTATATTGTCTCAACACACACGTCTTTTTTCAGATTCAGTTAGAATTGTGAACGGTAGCTATGAATATGAAGGACGGGTTGATGTTTTAGTTAATAGCGAATGGCATACAGTATGTAACAGCGGTTGGGACAAAAATGAAGCGGGAGTGGTTTGTACAAACTTAAAATATTCAAGGTAACTAAAATTATAAAAGTATTACACCCCTGAATATTAAATTTAAAGATAAAGACCAGAAATATATAGAGATAACGAACGGTAATCAGGCTGAGAATTTCAAAGTTCATTGAGCAGACAGGTACCTCTGGAAACATATGGTGGGATCATGGCGGAGTAGGCATCTCCCTGTAAATTGGTCACACTCGCTCCTTGTCATGATCCAGAAAATAGTTAATCTTAAACATTCCAATATGTACGAGTATCAAATAATGGTATATTATTATTATTATTATTATTATATAAACGTATGATCTTAAAAAAAAAAGTTAATATTAGCTTATATTTACCGACAACTTAAAAACGATACATTTGATATCCATGGTTCATCCACTTCATCTGATAAGATTTATTGCAAAAAAAAAGAGAATATAAAGCGAATATCTTCAATGCAAAAGTTTTAAATACTTTGTTTTCTTGAAGATCTTATTTATTTCTGTAAGCTTATTTGCAGCAGCGTTGTCAGGTACAGGAAACTGACCCTGGTCGCCGATATTTGGACTTCCTTTGCGAGAAATCTATTTTAATTTCCTGAGTGTTATTTGAACATAAAAGTTATCATCATTAAAAAGCACAATTTTCGCATTCGCTCAAATTCTTGGCAGTGATCAGGTATAGACAGTTTTCAGCTTGGTCTAGTGACCATGCTTACTTTAAAAGTGAATTCCTTTGCGAGGACAATAGGAAAAGAACTGCGAACGATAGTATTGTTCTCCCGCCTACCTCCAAGTCAATTTTCGAAAGTTAACATATTCGAAGGATTTTTAATATTTCTATAGATAATTATATTTTACTAAAAACATTACTTATTTTGGTAAATAAAGAGAGATAACTCTAAAATTTTGGTAAATCTTGTGTTTTTATGCCCCCGTATAGATTTTTTCTTATCCGTCTGTCTAGCTGTCTGTTTGTCCACAAAAACTTTAACCTTGCCCATAAATTTTGATGTAGTGGAGCTATGACTATTATATTTCACATATGTATTTCTTGTGACAAGACCTATCTTTGGATAACACCAAATTTGACCTTGACCTTGGAGTTTGACCCACTTTTACACAAAATTTCTAACTTGTGAACAATAAATGCCAGGACTTTCATACTTCATATATGTATTTTTGTGGCAAGAACTTTCATTGAGTACTAACAACTTTGACATTTTGACCTTGACCTGGAAGATTTTCGCATTTATGAAAAAACTTTAACCTTGGACTTAACTATCGAAGGATAAAGGCTAGGGCTTTCATACTTCACATATGTAATTCTTTTGAAAAGACACTTAATTTGATACTAAGAATTTTGACCCTTTGACCTTGACCTTGGACTTTGACCTACTTTTTTTTAAAACTATAACCTTGGCCATAACTTTTAAACGGTAAGTGCCAGCACTTCCATCCTTCTAATATATAATCTTTAAGACAAGGCCTTGAACCTTTGACCTTGACCCCGGAGTTTGTCCTGCCTTGAAAACGTAAATCTTGATCATAAACTTTGAACAGGCGTTGCTATCGTTTTATATTCCACATTTGAATTTCTTGTGGAAAAAACTTTACTTTAGGTACCAACATATTTGATCTGCATTTAAGAAAGCATACCCTTTGCTATGTTGCTATACAGGGACATCAGTGTTTCACAATCACATCTTGTTCAATGTAGAATACAATGGAAAACGAAGAATATTTTTAGATCATTTCCATCCCCCCTTCACGTGAAACAAAATTCCTTTCGACAGTTAATATAGACTGTTATTTCACGAATTCATACCAAAGCTTTTTGTGCTTCACGGGGGGAGGACATATGTTTATAGAGAGAAAAAAAAAATGCTTATTTTTCACCTATTTCAAATTGATTCAATACTGAAACATAATATTTTATTGATATATTTATGTTTGATTTTACTTGCCAAAACATAAGAAAAATATGAGGAACATTTAATCTTATCCAAGATTATTTCAAAATATGGTGATGCTTCAAAGTCTAATTTCAATGGAAAATATCCTCTAGCACCCCTTTTTTCAAGAGCTGGATTTAGGGACAATTTACTATTCAGCGCTTGTATTAAAATAATTCATTAATTACCATTGAAGTGTTCTTTGTATCGAACACAGATTTCATAACCAAATTACCATAACTGTTAAATTAAATAAATGCAGAATGTAGGCTGGAATCGAGAGTTAATTTTTTCAAGGGTTTTCAATTTTGAAAAAAAAAAATTAAACCTCAACATGTATTATAATAATGTTTATTGCATTACTTATTGAACGACCCTCTTACATGTTTTCCAGTCCACAGTGTAACAATGTCGATGTGATGAAATCCCTTTAATACACGATGCCTCGTTTGATTCGTTACTACCTTAAGTTAATCAACAGTCAGGTCTTAATACTCTGCCCCTTTGAAACTTTTGAATAGTCTTCTTGAAAGGTCAAAGAAGGTCCATTGTGTGATTCCTCGGCACCAGAATACAGGCTGAGATCTGTGATTATGGAGATTGTAAATCATACGCTTCTGAAAACGCCACCTGTACTAAAGAAACTGTAGTTAAAACAATACGTATTTGTTAGTTCCTTACACTTCAATATGCCAACAAAAGAATTGACGCAGTTAATACAAGTAATAATCCTTGTCACAAAATATTCCAGTCTTGTTCTCCACCATATTTCAAGTTAAAGACTACAACTTGTATTTCCTACAAATATACATCGAAGATTGCTTCCAAACTTTTTAATTACATGAAAACTTTACAGGACCTGGAAATCTAATATCTAAAACATAATTATCCACCGTGTTCATGTTCTTCATCAACTATGGTCCTGTTGGACACATTATTACAGGTGAAGTAAATATAGTTAATAATAAGGGTAGATCACTAATTTTTAAAATTCCTGAAGGTAGGGAGACCCGATCCTTTAACTGGCATCGTAATTTCATAAATATTATGGATTCTGTAGCAGATTACGCAAGGCGATGGGCAAGACATGAAAAAGAATACCTTGACACTTTGTCAGTATCAGAATTACCGGTATTTTTACTCGCGCATTAACCGATTTAGAGGCACTATGAAAACCATCTTTCCTAATGAATTCAATAATCCAGAAGTGAAAAAAAATTAGATAGAATACACGATCAGTACTTACTGGTCCCTGCTTGCAAAGCTGATAACAACATTGTTTTTAGAGGAATTTTGATTTCATTCTACAAGTGGTCTTCAACTCAGCATCTAGATATATCGATGGTATATTGTCAATTTACAATAGTTTTTTTTTATTTATAAATTTCCATTCTTTTGTAGACTCAATATATTCTTGTGAGCTTGGAATAAAAGATACCACAGCGTCCGACTCATTTTTTTTTTCATATTTGGATCGTTTTCTAGAAAAAGATGTTAATTATTTAAAAATAACAAAGCTTTATGATAAACTTGATGACTAACTTTTCAATCGTCAAACCCCCTTACTTATTTATCACCTGCATATGGAGTTAATAGCCCTTAGTTCATTCAAAACACGAGAGCTGCTCTTCGTATGACGAATTTCTAAAAGGAGCTAAGTTATTGAAAAACAATTTGATGAAGCAAAAATATCAGCAGTCTCGTTTAAAGTCATCATTTCGACAGTTTTATGTTCGATACTATGACCTTGTCAGCAAATACAATTTATCATTGAGTCAAATGTTGACAGAGTTTTTCCGTATTGAATTTTTGGCCATTATTTACACTCTGAATTGTCGACTGATTTTCTCCGTTATTTCCCGATCATGACAAGGAGCACACGACATGTGTGACCGGTCTGCATGGAATGCTCACTCCTCCACGGCACCTGATCCCAACTATGAGTTTTGGAGTTCCGTGTTTGCTCTGCTCCTATTTTGCAATGTTAAATGGACTTTTGAGCTGGAATACTTTTTGTTATCCAAACAAATTTCATTAATTACTTTTTGTGTCTTTAATACTAAAACAATTCTGCCACGAACAAAATTCAAAAAATTCTGTAACACATACACATATCCATGATGCTTTACGATTTCAGATATGCATATTTCCATTTTTTTTAGAGGTTTGCCGGCTTCGTTGTCAAAGTTTGGACAAGTAAACGGACAAATGCAGATGTTGCGTGTTTATTGTAATGGACGTGAAACTTCTTTCTTAGAATGTCAACTCTCAGTAGTTCAATCAAGCAGCTGTATTGATGACGGATACGCTGGAGTCGTTTGTTACCAGGCACTAAACGGTTGGTTACAAAAACAATAATACATCTTTCAGTTTGACTTTGTTCTGCTGATTTAAACTTCTTGGTACAATTTTAAGAGATTTACTGCTTGTCCCTAGTATGAGAAACATGGAATATACTCTAATCTCCTTTTAAGCACTCATAGATAGATGCCGGTAGATAGAAAGAGAGCGTCGAGAGAGAGAGAGAGACAACCTTTGTTTTAATTTTGAATTTGAGATGTTCGAACGTTTCCAAGTGCTGTGAGTCTGGCTCGAAGGGATAAGAAATGATGACTCTCGGCGGACATTTTATACTGATTTTTTAAGATGTGTATTATTTCCCTAAAACATTATTCTTTCAATCTGTCATTTGTTATTTATTAATATACATTCACTGTCTAATGTCGTGTCAGTTTTCAACATTATATATGGCAGATTAAGATGAAAATCACACAAGTTTGTTTTGAGATTTTTTTTGGAGAAACAGAATTTTAAATATATTAAATTTGTATCATTTTCTTTACAGATACATATATGTGAAGAAGATATACCTGAAAGTTGCATTAAATTACCACAATTATTCAATTAGAAACTTGAACTAAATCAGTTAATAAAGAACAAAAACTGAGGAAATCAATTTTAAAAATAATCATATCATAACCTCCATAAGATATTTAAAATCTAAATAATAAAGGTTGCTAAACAGAAACTTTAAATCACCTGAGGGTAAAAAAAATTCCTTTAATATTTTTCACACTTCGGGTACATGCCTTTTTTGTTGCAGTGAAATTAATGTTTTCCTAAGCAGTGTAATACTCATATGATTGGTATTTTATTTTCAGATTCGGTAAGAATCGTAAATGGAAGCTCTCCAGATGAGGGCCAAGTAGAGGTCTATATTAACGATCATTGGCAGAGTGTATGTGACATAGGTTGGGACAAAAGAGAAGCTGAGGTCGTCTGTAAAAGCATTGGGTATTCAGGGTAATTTCTATTTAATTATCTTTTTAAAAGTTATATTGTATCTCAGAATTACGTTTTATTCATACCATTATCATCTATTTCTTCTGAAATATAAAGAGATAAAGAACAGTTTTTGAGCTCTAAATTCCATTTAACAATACAAACCAAGAGCAGAGCAAACACGGACCTCCAAAACATCAGAGGTGAGATCAGGTGCCATGGAGGAGCCAATCTGATTAAAATCAGATCTTTGTTACTCTCCGAAATTCTAATGGTCGCCATCAGAATTTCGGAGCGTAACAAAGATCTGATTTTAATCAGATTGTGGAGGAGCTAGCATTCCCTGTCGAGATGATTCTACCCTTCGAAGGAAACGTATATGCTTTTAGACTGATACCATGACATTGTTTAACGAGCGTTAGGGTCTTTAAAACAATTATTATCGGCAGCGACTGGAAACAAGGACAGAGAACTCGTGCTTATGTTTTTTCCAGTAAAGCACGCTCGTTTTGGTTTTCAGAGAAAAGTCTTTGGTGTAGAGAATTGTTCACGGGGGATCACTCTGTATCACATTTATATAATTTTAAAAACATCTATAAAACCTTTTGCTTCGGATAACCATGACTTGCCAATGTCCCTTAAAGTTACTATTCAGGAATCAACAATGGAGGGGAAAGACTTGCTATGCAAGGATGGAGACTAGCTATGTTGTTAGACTTCCTCCTCGATAAACTGGATTCATGACAAACTTCCCCTGTGGAGGTCTCCGCATAAAGCTAGTATTTCGGGGAAAATCTCCCTATATAGCCCACATTCCAGGGGAAGTCTTACTATGGACGAAGTCTCACTTTACGACACCAGTATCAAATTCCCATATTAGGGATTCATACCGAGCGACAATATCTTATTCATATCTTATTCTGCGACCTGCAATAGAGCAAACACGCTAACCACTGCACCCCACGAGCGACTTATTCTTTAATTGCAATGAATTCATTCTCAATATATACAAATATTTGTCAGAGGTGTACCTGCTCCTTCATCTACGTTTGGAGAAAAGAACAATCAAGTATGGATGTTGGGTGATGTTTACTGTTATGGAAGTGAAACCTCTTTGTTTGAATGTCGGCTGTCAGTAGTTGATCCCAGCAACTGTGTTAATGGCGGACATGCCGCAGTCTTATGCTATCACTCAGGAAATGGTATGTTTTTATTATTATTAGTTCTTTTACGATTTTCGTCCCAAGTTTCTTAGCCTCTCAATTAGAATGACAATTTAGATACGGTAAGAATGGTTAATGGAACCTCAGAAAGAGAAGGTCGAGTAGAGGTTTTGATGAATGGTGAATGGCTCAGTATCTGTGACAGTGGCTGGAACAAACCTGAAGCCGATGTGACTTGCAGAAGTATTGGCTATTCCAGGTTAGAAGATTTTATTAGTATCATATAATCGATAATTTGATTTGTTTAAAAAAAACAACGGTTTTTACTTAATCTTTGTAATGTTACACGATCTTGGGTCTTGCAAAAATTTTTTTTTAACTTTAAAAATTAATTTATTAAAACAATAGATTAACAATTAATGATTTATAGATGTAATCAAGAAATAATAATGGATAAATGGCTTAAGAAATATTATAATAGTAATCAGTTGAAAGGCTTCAGATTTTTTAACAATATTAGAATTAATGCGTTTTGCTTTCAAGAATGTTTTATGCACCCGGATCGATAGATCGCGGGCGTATATTGTTTTTGTCATGTTTGTCTGGCTGTCTGTCTGTTTTCAATTTTAACCTTTGTCATAACTTTTGAAATGTGGGAGATGGAGACTCCATATTTGGTATGCATACATCACTAATTAAACTCTTTCAAATGATATTAATTATATAATATCATTTAAATGATATTGTGACCTTGACTGTGCCCTATATGCTAAAAATTGCTTTTTCGAACTTTGTTGCAGCCGGGTGCATAGTGTTTCAAAAACTCATCTTCTTTCGTGTTAAGATGGAATAAAAGCCGCTCTGGGTTTTTTTTTTCAGAGCTCTACCTGCTCTTTCGTCTTTGTTTGGAGAACTAAGTGGACAAACTCGCATTTTGGGGGATATTTACTGTTATGGAGGTGAAACGTCCTTGCTAGGATGTAGACTCTCACTCGTTGAATCAAGCAGTTGTAAAAATGGAGGACTTGCTGGAGTCATCTGTTATGACCAAGGAAATGGTTGGTTAACATGATAATAATTTTTAATTCTAGTCCTTGTATTTATAGAAAATGCATTATTCTCTAAAAGGCATCTGAAAATCTCTTAGTCATAATCTTAGTACGTATCATTTATTGATCTGTAATAAATCTGCTAATTGTGAAAGAAGGATTTTATACAGATCAAGTGCAATTTTATAATTAGCATAGTACCTCTTCCAAACTTATGAATTATGAATTAAAGGCTCCTGGTTCGTTCGGGGCCTCGTGTAAGGTACTATTGATAGCATTTGTCCAAAATCTTATTCATAAAAAGAAGGAAACAATTGCTTTGGACTTAAACATTTAGATATGTCGACAGCGTGTTGTTGATCAACAGTGGTAACCGTTATTTCCATTATTATGTCGATAAAAAATATATATCCTGTTGACTTGAAATATAAGATATGACAAAGTCTGACACATGTACTTTATATTTAGATATTGTACTTGAAAAAGACGTTAAGGTTTTTCCGAAGGCCATGCTTTTTACAATAGCCCCAAAACTATGTGGTTTATAAAGTTAAAACTTTTACAGCCTTTGAGAGACTATTTACGTCCAACTTGGCCTTCATTTTTAAACAGGTTTTTTTTCTGCAATGATTGTTCTCACTTAAAGGACAAAATTTAGCATCTTATAAATATATAAAAGTTTTGATATATTTTTTCTCAAAAATATCTTTTTTTAAAATAAAATATATGGGGATAACGAACAGATTTCAAGATCAAAACTCCATAAAATAAAACATATTAGAAGCAAACACGGACCTCCCAAACATCAGAGGTGATACTTTCTATCTGTTTATCAATGATATATTTGTGAACTGTAAATGTTATAACTTTATACCTCAAATAAGTTTGGGGCTTTTGTAAAAAATATTTTTTTAGACACATTGACCTTTGGAAAACCTTAATTGTAATCTAAGCTAAGCTTTATGACAGACGTGATGACTAACTTTTTAATCGTGAACTCCCCTTACTAATGCAGCTACATACCTTCATCACCTGCAAACGAGGTTTCTCTCAGTTGAACGTGAACCTTACAATATAATTACAATATACATTATCCCTTTTTTCACAAGGCTTCCTCATGCTGTCAAAATAGTTTTTCAAAAATAAGATATAAAACAACCTGAAGAAAATACGATCTTTAATCTATCTTTATCTTTAACCTTTTTCTTGATTGATCATGTGATTTCCTTGGCAGTCTCAGCTTCTCACGAACGAATACATTTAGAAATATTCTTTTTCCTTTCAGAATAAGAGCTTCTACGATGCATACAATGAAAGAATAATTCCCTTTTTTCTCATAAGAAGCTATTTATTCTTGTCTATAGCAAGTTAGACTTTTTCCCACTTGATTTTTTTTTATTTTGGTAAGAGAAAACACACGAGGAGATCCACTAAGTTTAAAACAAATATCAAATTAATAACCACTATACGCTTTTCAGCAACGAAACCGAATCCCCAAGAACCCATATTATTATCTCAAACCATGAAAATATTTGATTTAATGGTTATCTGATGAAACATACATGCATGGAGATAAAGAACAGTATTTAATATCAAAACTCCATCAAACAAAACAAAATAGGAGCAGAGCAAACACAGGCCTCCAAAACATCGGAGGTGGGATCCGGTGCCTTGGATGCTTCGGAACATACTGTGTATACTTAATCCTTGTTTGAATTGTTCTATCTTATTGATTATTTATAAGTTGTTTAACTGTTTCTTTTTCGGGAATCCTATTGAGACACCACGACCCGCCGGTTGAGATTTACAAACTTTGTCCTGTATTCTGCACTTCATTACGGCCAGTTATAATAAGCAGTGGGTGATCTTATTTGTGCGAGCACGGACTGCGACACGGTTCCACAGTTTATACGGTCTCATCCGAAGGACCATTCTCTATGTCCCACAGTGGGACCAAAACGTCTTTGTTGTTAAAGAGTTTTAAATAATAATTCTGATTAAATGAATGAACGAGATGTTGCAGTCTTTCATTTTTTGGCACTTATTTTTTGCACATATTGTACAGTGCATCTGAATTTTTGTCAAAATTTTGCAATTCTGAAATGCTCATAAATACCTTTTTTCCCTTACAGCTATTCTAAAATATGTAGATGTTTGTTTGTTTGGGTTGCTTTGTTTCATTCAGTTTATATTTTCTACACCCTTTAAATAATCCCATGTGATGGCGGTGAGCATTTTTTCTCGCCTTTGGCACTATAGTTCTCATGTGATTTCCTCTTTTTAATTTTCAGATTCTGTAAGAATAGTAAATGGGAGCTCTCCAGGTGGAGGCCAAGTACAGGTGTATTTTAACGATCATTGGCGAAGTGTATGTGACAAAGGTTGGGACAAAAATGATGCTGAAGTGACTTGTAAAAGCATTGGATATTCAGGGTAATTTCTAAGGAATTATCTATCTAAATGTTTCAATTAAGTTTTTTATAAATCATTTATTTCTATAGGTAAAATAACTTTTTGTACTTTTAATCAGGACATAAAAATCTATTTTGTTCCTGGACACCTCAGTATGTACAGAAAACTTTTATAATTTTACGTCGTTAACAATATTCTTTGTTCGTGTGTTTTATTTGAAGTCTTTTGAGACCCCAATACTATCAATTTCAGTTCAGTGGGAAGTTTTGCATTACGTCACTATCTTTTCCGACAGATGCATCCAGCGTAAACAATTCACGTGATTGGTCAACTCATATTATCAACATTGACACAGAATTAGTCTGTTGTACGAGCAACCAATCAGCGATTAGAAGAAAGTTCCAGTCGTAAACCTTGCGGTTAGGAGGCGTGTACTATTTACCTTGGGTGCAGCTGTCAAACTAGATTGTGCCGTAACGTAAAACTTCACACTTAACTGCAATCCATAGTGATTGCTGGTGGGAGCTGTAAATTTAGGTCTACTCGTCCCTGAGGACTTTAAGCAGTGAGATACCTTATCATGTTCTCCTTATCATGATCGGGAAAAAGTGGGAAAATCCATCGTCAATTCAGCGTAGAAATAAATAATGGACTAACAATTAGTATGAAAACCTTCAGTAAACATTTGACTCAATGATAAATTGTATTTGCTGACAAGCTCATTGCATAGAACTTAAGAAATAATTCCTTTAAATGAGCGGAAATTCTTGTTTCATCAACTTGTTTGTCAATAATTTACCTCTTTTTAGAAATTGTTCATACGTAGAGCATGTTTTGCCACCTATAGAATCAACTGAGATACATAAACTCCGCATGCGATTGAAGAAGGCATTTTGCTGCATAAGTAAGGGAAGTTGACGATAGAAAAGTTAAAGTCATCAGGTTTATTATAGAGCTTGGTTGTTAGATTACCATCAACGCCTTTTTTCAAGTCAAATATCCAAAAGATGAAATAGATGTGTCAGACTCTGTGGCATTTTTTACCTCGAGCTCCCCAGGATATCGTATCAACATAAAAATGGAAATTACAATTGTTAATTGACTATACGTCGTTGATATATCTAAATGTCGAGTTGAAGGTCACAGCAAGTGTTTTTTGCACAAATGCTGCTTCATATGAATATAAAATAGGTCCGCTAATAATGCGGCGCAATTGGTACACATGGGAATTCTAATATGTTGGCTGGAAGACCTTGTCACCAGAAACAACAGATTTTGTCAACCAGAACCCCAAGCATCTTTTTATGTCGACTTCACAGTACTTGTGTGTACAATCAGAATGTTTTTTTACCAAAATACTTTTGCAAATAACTAAGTTAAGTAAATCTAAGAGTTCCATTTTTATTGAAAAAGTAGCTGTCAATGATATCAAAATATCTGGACTATAATTTATCGTGGGGAATGGTTGTGTACAAAGTAAAATATCATTACATTGAAAAAAGTTAAACTCCATATTCCACAGATAAATGGTCTCCATGCATTTATTTCAAAGATCGTGAAAAGTGGGGGGTTGGGTTATTATGGCGTCTACGTAATACATTCGCGGTTGTTTTTCCGATAGTCAGAAAGGCCCGAGAAGCTGCGATTGAGACAATCAATCATTCTATTCCGTCTCAATTTATATACCTATTTATTAGAGGTCTACCTGCTTTACCATTTATGTTTGGAGAAGAAAGCAAACAAGTATGGATGTTGAGTGATGTTTACTGTTATGGAGGTGAAACCTCTTTGTTTGAATGTCGGCTATCAGTAGTTGATCCCAGCAACTGTGTGAATGGCGGACTTGCCGGAGCCTTATGCTATCACTCAGGAAATGGTATGTTTTTATTATTATTATTATTATTATTATTTCTTTTACCATTTTTTTTCCCAAGTTTCTTAGCCTCTCAATTAGAATGACAATTTAGATACGGTAAGAATCGTTAATGGAACCTCGGAAAAAGAAGGTCGAGTAGAGGTTTTGATGAATGGTGAATGGCTCAGTATATGTGACAGTGGTTGGGACAAACGTGAAGCCGATGTGACTTGCAGAAGAATAGGGTATTCCGGGTAAATATATTTTTTAAGCATAGACAAAGGTATTTTTAAATTCAATGGATATTTTTAAAATTAACAAAAGTTATTCAATTGAAAGCAATTAATGAGTGTTTTCAGTTATTTGATTTTTAAGTAAATTAAAAAAAAATACTCTTGGCCGATAAACATTTTTTTGCCCCGCTATTTTTTAAGAGGCCTGCCTGCTCTGTCGTCTTTGTTCGGAGAACAAAGTGGACAAACTCGCATTTTGGGGGATGTTTACTGTAACGGAGGTGAAACGTCTTTACTAGGATGTAGACTCTCAGTCATTGAATCAAGCAGTTGTACAAATGGCGGACGTGCTGGAGTCATCTGTTATGACAAAGGAAATGGTTGGTTAACATATTATTTGTTTTGCTAATCTGTTTTATGATCTTTTTAAATTTTTTTGCTGAGTTTATTTTAGTAACTTTTTAAAGAAACTAAAGATTTCTTGGCTGATCTCTTTAAATGTTCTTTTAGCAACTGATCGATTCACATGTTTTTAGACACGGCAAGAATTACAAATGGTAGCTCAGTAGATGAAGGTCGAGCAGAGCTTTTGTTTAACGGCGAATGGCGAAGTGTTTGTGACAGTGGATGGGACAAACGTGAAGCCGGTGTCCTTTGTAAAAGTTTGGGATATTCAGGGTAAAAGAAAAATGTTACAAAAATGTTCTTTCCTACATTTCGACTTATTTTTATCTTTCTCAAATCTCTCACAGAATAATTCTATGGTCTTTGAAAACGTAAGTTTTTAAGGAACTTTTCATATTACCATTTTTTTTTCTTACGAAAAGACTCGAAGGCACATATTGTTAGTCTGTAAGATTAAATATTTTGCACTTTTTCTGGTTTTTAACGTGACACACAGATGCATCAACATCAAATTAAATATATCAACTATCATTCATAAGTCAACTTGTTAGATTTTCCCCATAGAACTTGACATAAAATATTTTACTAATTGTGTAGTAATGTTCCGCAATCACTTGGTTTTTGGGTTTGCATTTTCCGATTCCTACAAAAAATTTCTGAGTACGATGAATTTTGAATTGAGGCAACTACTGGAAAATAGGTTGATGTATCAGTGATTTCAACTTCTGCGCTTAAAGGTGGCATTTCATAAATTATTTTGTCGTAATAATATATTAAATATTACATCATGGTTCTTAATTTTGCTGAGGTGTCGCTTACTATTTTTGAGTCTAGAGTGTTTCATTATTTGATCAACACATAGGGCTCACGGTGTGAAATTTAAATCATTGGTATAATACTCATGCAAGTTCCTTATGTTCACTTGTAAACCACACATATTGTCTTCTTGTTTAAAGTCATCATTTTGTAAGTTCTATGGTTGATGCAGTGACCTTGTATGACCTTGTATCATTGAGCCAAATGCTGACTGACGTTTTTCATACTAGTTTTAAAATTGTTAGTCCAGTATTTATACAGTGAATTGACGATGGATTTTTCCGTTATTTCCCGATCAAAACAAGTAGCACACGGCGGGTGTGACCGGTCGACAGGGGATGCTCACTTCTCCATGGCACCTGATCCCACCTCTGATGTTTTGGAGGTCCGTGTTTTCTTTGTTCCTATTTTGTATTGTTTTATGGACTTTGATATTGAATACTGTTTGTTATCTTCATATCCTGCATTCTTGTATATATTTTTCAAATTAAATGAAGTGGGTGGTTAGTTTAAAGGTGCTCGGACAGAGAATTGAAGTTTTTTTCCCTCAAAATAGAGGTATAAGATCATGCTTATATCTCGCTATAGCTTTTCAGATAGAAATATATTTTTTTCAGATAGAACTCGCTAAATCTGGAACTTATTGATACCGCAATGTTCGGGACGCGTTTGATTGATGAATCCTTTTTATAAAGCATAGTTTATCCCTAATACTTAAGAAAGGTAAAAGTTTTGTTGTGTTTTAATGAAATATATTCCATCTTTAATCCGGATAATTCAGAGTAGAAATATGAGAAGAAAACCCAACTCACCAGTATTGTCTGTCTGTGCTTAGTGTGTAGTGTGTGAGTATTTTTCCAAGGACTTCTTGAACGTACACGCGAGTCATGTGTCATTCGTCAGCGTCAAGCATTGTTTTTAAAATCGGAATTAACATAACCAACACGTCGTCATAGCCATTTCAGCGTTAATTCCAATTTATGTGATTAAGTATACAGCAAAACTCGGTTATAACGAAGTCACTGGGACCTATAAAATTACTTCGCTATAACCATAATTCGTTATAACTGTATATGAAATTCATTAAATTCATATAGCTGGGGATCCAAGATGACTTCTCTATATCCGTAAATTTGCAATATCCGTGTTCGTACTAAACGAGTTTTCCTCTATTGCTATAAAGAGCAAAGAAAGTTAACGTTAGAAAATCGAAGTATTCACAGTTATCATAAAATGTTGTAGTTAGATTAACATTTTAAAAGTATTGTGTACATTGAAGCTAACGGCAAGTTACCGATGGTCAGGGGATATCGACTCTTTGTAGGCACTTCTTCCCATCTTTGAAATGTGTTCGTAAATGAAGGATATGGAGATAACGAACAGACGAACAATATTCAATATTAAAGTCCATAATACTATACAAAACAAAAATAGGAGCAGATCAAACATGGGCCTCCAAAACATCAGAGGAGGGATCAGATGCCATGGAGAAGTGAGAAACCCCTGCCGACAGGTCACACCCACCGTGTATTCTCATTATCGGGATATAACAGGAAAATCTGTCGTCAATTAAGTGTATAAATAATAGACTAACAATTAATATGAAAAAAACGTCAAAATTTGAAATTTTGCAACTATCACTGTTCGTTAGTACTTTTCATTATTGACTGACTTCATTAGAGGTCTCCCGGCAGTATCATCTATGTTTGGAGAAGGAAGCAAACGCAAATGGATGTTCAGTAATTTTAACTGTTACGGAGGTGAAACCTCCTTGTTCAAGTGTGGACTATCAATAATTGAAGCCAGTAGCTGTGTTAATGACGGACACGCAGGTGTTGTTTGTTACCACTCAGGAAACGGTAAGGAACTCATATTTAATCAGTATAAAAATTTCTTTAATTAATACTGTTCGTTATCTTCGTATAATTTCTTGATTCTCTCTCACTTTCTCAACTTTAGCAAACAGGTCAATCTCTTTTTGCACTTTTAGATTCGGTGAGAATGGTTAATGGAAGCTCTATGCATGAAGGCCGGGTCGAAATATATCTAGGAGGGCAATGGCATAGTGTATGTGACAGTGGATGGGACAGACGGGAAGCTGACGTGACTTGTAGGAGCATTGGATATTCCGGGTAATAACAGTAATGTGTTGGTGTGTTTATAAGCCAAAGCTTATGACAAAGATTGTAACGTTTGCCTGGAGGTTCATGTATCTGTGTTTCTGATTTTATAAAATTTTGAGAATCAACATAAAGGTCCTGCGTGGGAATACTTGGTGCCATGGATCGGTCGCCTCATTCTTTTTTAGCAAGTTAGCAAAATGCTTTGACCCATAATCTTTGGATGCTGACCCGTGTTACTAGTATTTAAACTGATCGATTAACACCACTAGAAGGCGAATCTACTTCACACGTGTAGATGCCTTTGGTAAGAGTAAAATCTAGATATCCTTATGTTTCTATGATATGTAAGTCTGTACTTAATAACGTACCTTAAGACTTTCGCAATCAATATTGTTCACAAGGATGACCATTATACACAGACTGATTTTGTTTACTTTTGTTCCATCTTACTGCTGAATGTAGTAAGCTATACACATGAGTCAGTGTCTAACTAAAGCTAAACGTAGGCGTGTGATTTGAACTAGTAATGATGTACAAAAAACTATCAGCGTGTCTGATTGCTCCGCTGTATTTATTTTATTTACTTTCTGAACAAAAATAGTCCGATTCCATTTAATGTGGTAATTCCACTACTGTCCCTTACGGTGTACTTAGCAAATTTCAAATAACCGAAATATCTTAAGTTTACATCTCCAGCACCGGGCTATTGTCGAAGGAACAGTCGCTAACTATGCTGACATTTTGCGGCGAACGCAAGCCTCACAATCATTGCTGTTTTAGTATTTTACAATTCTTAATCATTATCCGGGTTTAAAAAAATAAACATATTTATTAAACTCTGTTTATTTAAGATTTAAAAAGAATTGAAAAATGCTAAGTATTTTTGACAATTCAAAATTAATACATCAAACATGGATTAGCATTTGTTTATCGCTTTAAGATAAAACATACATTCAAGCAGATTTGTCTTTTGTAGAGGCTTACCTGTATTATCATCTATGTTTGGAAAAGGAAGCAATAATTCATGGATATTGGGAGGTGGCTACTGTTACGGAAGTGAAACATCCATACTAGCCTGTTCATTTACAGCTGTTGAAGCCAGAAGCTGCTATAATGGCGGACATGCAGGAGTCCTTTGTTTTTATTCAAGAAATGGTTGGTTTTTAGAGCTTTTAGATAAGTTTCAGGATTCAAGAGCAGGCACCACTGCTACTGCTTTGTATTCTAATTTTTAAAACTTTTTTTTAAAACTTGCGACATAAGGATCAACTCCTTAATTCGCCAATCTAGAGCAGACCCACTGCGAAACGCAGGTGACAATTACAACTTACAAGAAAAAAATCCCAGCTTTTTTTAACACCGTTTGTCATGGGCTTATGAGGAGAGTAGCGTATCAGAATCCTTGTCTAGTGAAGATGAGCAACAATAAGCGTATTATTACTCAAGCTTAAGATTTTGAATAAAATCTGCTTCATATGAATACAAAAGCAAGTCTGCTAATGGTGGGGCGCAATCGGTACCCATGGAAATTCCAATACATTGAGAAAAAGAATGAATTCTCAATTCATCACAATTATACGTAGAATGTGATGACAACAATATTGCTTAAAGGCTGCTCCATTGGCAGAGATATCAGATCAATTGGGATTTCAATACGATGTAAAAGCTGAATTGTGTGTGAAAATTATTAAGCCCACCCGTACAGGGTTTGTGTTTTAATGTGGGGACAGCGTGGGGATTACTTAGCTCGTGCAAGCTCGTGCAAGTAAATTTACGTGTCAAATCTTATTGAAAAACAGTGCTTCCATTTCCATGCTATTGTACAGATATCCGAATTTGGTCTGTCATATTTTCACATTTGATTTAAAAGAAATAATTTGTGACACGGATAGTACAAGTTAACTACATAAAGAAAATAACATTAAATGAGCACTTGGATTTTCAGAGTTGGTTAGGATTGTAAATGGTACCTCAGACAAAGAAGGTCGAGTAGAAATTTTAACTGGTGGGCAGTGGCGAAGTATATGTGATGGAAGTTGGAACAAGTTTGACGCTAACGTTACTTGTAGAGGCTTGGGGTATTCGGGGTAAGCTCAACTGTGATATTATCAATCCATTGTTGGTTACACACAATAAAATAAATTATTCATGCTTTGTAGAGGATTTCCAGTTTTATCCTCTTTTTTCGGGGAGGGCAATAGTGAGTTATGGCTGAGTAATGTTAATTGTAACGGAGATGAGGATTCTCTGCTCCACTGCAAGCCGTTATCTTTAATGTCTACGAGTTGTTATTCTAATGGAAAAAATGCAGGAGTCGTTTGCTACAATTCATTAAATGGTAAGAGATTATCTAGTTATCTTAAATCAGTTTTTTTTATTTGAAATTTAAATTACTTACTTTACTAGTAACTACTTTTTTCCTTTAGAGAGAGAGAGAGAGAGAGAATGTGCATAATAATTAACTGGCGAAATACTGTTTTTAGAATCAGTGAAAATACAAAACAGAACTTCGACAGAAGATGTAATTGTAGCTAACCCTCAGGTACTTATACATGGCAGTTGGATAGGATTGTGTAAAGACAAATGGGATGACAGAGAAGCAAAAGTCATCTGCAGAAGTCTTGGTTACGTAGGGTAGGTTTCTTACTTTCTCTTTCCATGGGTCTTTCATTCTATTCCTCAGTGCAGAAATAATCCCAAAACAAAAAGTGAAATTGTCTGTCGCACTAATCACCTTGTGTACAATGAAGAAATAATAAATTTATGTACAGATTTTAGTAACATGGAATTTACTGCAAACAAACAGTATTCAAGAAGTCCATTTAGTGTATTTAAACAGTACAATTCCGGAGCAGAGCAAACATAAACGTTTAAAACTTCAGCGGGTGAAATTGAAGAGTGAGTATCCTTGACAATCAATCACAACCGCCGTTGGCTTCTTGTCATGATGAAAAAAAAAAACGTGAAAATTCGTCGAAAATTCCCCCTGAAAATAATGATGTAACACCTAGTATGAAAACATATGTCGGCATTTGACTTGATGATCATTGTATCAATCACACAGCTTACAAAATGATGAATTTAAACGAGTCTGTTTATATTCTTGTTTCATGAACTTGCTTGTCTCGTTTTAAGAAATTGTTCGTTTCTAGCGCGTTTCTTGCGTATCGAATTAACTGATATAAATCCAATGCAGGTGATAAGGATATATTGATGTATAATAAGGGAAGTTAGCTAAATGTCTGGTTGAAGACCACAGCAAGTGCTTTCTTCTCCTGTATAAGATTTCGGAAAAAAATCTGTTTAATATCAGTACAATAATTGGTCTGATACTAATGATATCATTTAAGATATTGTAATCAAACACCATATGTTGATACATACTGATATGTTGGCTTTTCAAATGCATCAACATTTTTACCTTGACCTTTTCTTTGACCTTGATCTCACTTTCTTAAATAAATGTTTATCTCAGTTTTAAAGGTACAATTCGAAACAGTGTAATCAAACTTCATATGCAGAAACATACATTTGTACTTATGTTAGCTTTTCAACTACATCAACATTTTTTACCTTGACCTTTCCTTTTACCTTGAACTTACTTTTCGTAAATTAATGTTTAAATCAATAAACAATTCAAGATATTTTTATCAAACTTCAAAAGCTAAAACATACTGTCTGATAAGTTTTAAAATAACCATTAATTATATATTTATCAAAATTCATTTGGTAATTCATATTGATATTAGCTTTTCAACTATATCAACATTTGTTGATCTCAAGCTTTCCTTTGACCTTAAACTCTATTTTCTTAAATAAGTGTTTATCTAATTTTTTTAAAAAGAAACCATTCAATAAATTTTATCAATGAAGGATAACGAACAGTTTTATTAAAGTCCATAAAACAATACAAAATAGGAGCAGAGCAAACACGGACCTCAAAAACATTATTAGGTGGGATTGGGTGTCATAGAGGAGTGAGCATCCCCTGCTGACCGGACACATTACACACTGTTACGTTTTAGTAAGAGCTATTCGACAATATCCACCATGTAGTTTTCTGTGACCTTGACCTCTTTTCTCCTTAAATTTGGATTTTGCTTAGTTTTAAATAAATTATTTAAGATGTTTCTATGTAAGAAGGCATTTATACATAACTTGGTAAAAATTTATCATCTATGTACAATTTATTAGATTTCAATGTCAATTTTAAAGAAATTGTTCAAGATATTCTCATCTGACATCATAAACTTATGCAAATGTTCATGTTTCATTTGCAATGTACATTTGGCTGGTCATTCATTTACTATGGACATATTTCTAGTTTATTTTTAAATAAGTAATTTTGATTAAATGATTCATATTACTCATCCGACGTTATTAAGATTGACCTGAGTTTTCTTCAAAGTTTTTTATGTTGATTTTATTCTGTAGTTATGGTGGCTTGTTATACAGTATGCAAGACAGAAATTCATACAACGAACTCTATGTTAAAGATTTTCGCTGCATTGGCAGTGAACAGTCGTTAGCTGAATGTTCATTTGGAGTTATAGGTTCGGACATTTGTAGTATTAATGGTGAAGTGGGAGTGCGGTGCCATAACGATGTTAGAAGTAAGAATTATTCGTTTTGTCTAATTCAGTATTTTGCTTTGCATATTTACTGTTTTGGAGAAATTATGTATTTTTGTATGATAAATGTTATAATTTTATGTACATTATGTACAAAACCGAAATTATTCATGAATAGTGAAAGAAATCTCTTTATGGAAATTTATTTTCAACAATATAATTCATTTTCAAAGACTTACTAATAAGTTTAGAGCTAAAACAATTTCACAGGTAGTCTTATCAAAAGAGAGATGAAGAGACTGAAAAAGAAAAGGACTGAATTAAGAAAATTGAAACCTAGAGAAAGATTAAATGAGAATTATGTTCACAATATTTCTCGAAAAAGTAGGCATTGAAACGATTAAAGAAGCTTAAGCTTTTAATTATTATGATTAGGACAAAGGCAAAATTAAGTAATGAAGAACGAAAACCAATTTGTTATATTTGTTTTTGTTGGTATACAGTATATGTGTTTCCTTTTTTCAATTCCAGTTCATGTTATTTTGGTATGCATTATATTCATATAATAGTGTTGCATTATGCATGTACTATGCCTAAATAGTAGGCAGGGTTTGACACATAGTGCACGAGCCGGAGGCGAGTGTACTATGTGTCAAACCCTGACTACTATTTAGGCATAGTGCACGCAAAACACTACACTATTGTTTTTATTATGCTGACTGTTGTATAAAAATGACAATATTTTCTCCATTTTCAATGTTTCATCACCTATCTTATTCATGTAAGTTCAGTCCTATTATGGCGTCATGTTGTGCTACATTTAAGCATTGAATTCATATTTTTGGCTGTCTTCGGTCCTATAACACACCTGGCCGTGCCGACAAATTGAATACCGCGCATTAAATGATTATATTTACATTCTCTAATTTTCCTGCTTCATAAATACTTATTTCATTAATCTTTAATGTGAATTTAGCGCCTTTCAAAACTGACGTGGTTAATAGACGTAAGAGCCGTTTGTGACGTCAGACGACGTTGCAAAGTTAAAAAAAAACGCAAACAAACATTGCGAGGGAAAAAAGTGACAAATTAATTTTAAACGCACATTTGTAGTAATTTTACGTTCATTTAACAGGATGATAATTTTTGCTTAAATTAAGTCAACATATTGTACATTTTGGTGTTCCCAGATTAAAGAAAATGCATATACAGCGTCGTGCCATAAGTATTCGCGGAAAAATGGCGGCCGTCGTAAAACGTTCACGCTTCGCGTTTTTTCAAATCGTCCTAAATCATTATGCAATCGCTTTTTTGTATTTTGACATCATCCCCAAAACCGCGTAAGGTCAAAGTTTACCGTGATGTCATGTTTGACGTCTGCTAAAGTTAGACTTCCGAATATTACGGACTGTAAACAAGATGGGTAGAAAATCAAAAGAACTGTCACTAGAGATAAAACAGCTGATTATAGATTTGAAAGAAAACGGACATAAAGTAAGTGAGATCTCAAGAATTATGAAAATTCCCGAATCTACATGTAGATCAATTTTGAAAACGTTTCATCAGCGAAAAAGTGTGGAAAGAGCTCCTCGTTCGGGACGTCCCAGGAAAGTGTCAAAACGTGGTGAAGTAAGATTACTTCGTATGGTTAGGAAGAACCGGGGAAGTGTTTTGAAGGATATAACAACTGATTTTAATGATGGAAATTATTGTGAACCTATTAGTGAACGGACAGTCAAGCGGATTTTACATAATAACAAAATTTACAGAAGAGTAGTGAGAAAACGTATGGTTGTCAAAGAAGTAAATAGAAAGAAACGTTTAGCATGGTGTTTACTCAAACGAAGATGGACTGTTGAACAAAACTGGAAACCTATCATATTTAGTGATGAATCTCAAGTGGTTATAGGGCAAAATAATCGTGTGTATGTCTGGAGATCCGCCCAGGAATCGTACCGTCCGGAGTGCATGTATGCGATTTCAAAACCCAAAGTTTCCGTAATGATATGGGGATGCATCAGCTGGTATGGTCCAGGGACTTTATGCAAGGTACAAGGTAACATTAATGCCGATAAATATATAAAAATCATTGACAACCACCTGTGGTCTGTTATTGCCCGACATTTCCCTGCAAACAACTACGTTTTTCAAGATGACAATGCGCCGGTACATAGAGCCCGTGTTGTAGAGGAATATAAACGTGCAAATAATATTCGAGGTATGGTGTGGCCAGCCCAGAGTCCTGACATTAATATCATTGAAAACTGTTGGCATAGAATTAAAAGACAGATCCAAAATCACGCCGGAGATATTACCACCCCTGATCAGCTGTTCGATGTTATTTTACACACTTGGCAGAATTTCACCATAGAGTATATTCAAAACCTTTATAAATCCATCCCAAAACGCATCATGGCATGTATACGATCCAAGGGACATTTAACAAAGTACTAAAGGTAAGCATTTGTTTTGCTTTTGTTGTATTTGGGTGACTTTTATGTTGCAAGCGCGATAACTCTCAAATCACGTCCGCCATTTTTCCGCGAATACTTATGGCACGACGCTGTAGTTCCTACTGTGTATTCTAACGCGCGGTTACAAGGTTTTGCGTGTGTTATAGAAATTTGAATGTCGTGGATTTCTAATGAATTTCATAAGGAAAAATACACGGAATGTAAATGTATATACGTCATTATCTGTTCTCTTTTATCTTGAACATTCCAAGCATTAGGTACAATTTTAGAGAATTATTTAAGCATTGAATTCATATTTTGGGATGTCTTCGGTCCTATAATACACCTGGCCGTGCCGACAAATTGAATATCGCGCGTTGGCGCGGTATGATAATTTGTCGGCACGGCCAGGTGTGTTATAGGACCGAAGACATCCCAAAATATGAATTCAATGCTTATATTTACATTCTCTATAATTTTCCTTCTTCATTTAAGCATTGAATTCATATTTTTGGATGTCTTCGGCCCTATAACACACCTGGCCGTGCCGACAAATTATCATACCGCGCGGTATGATAATTTGTCGGCACGGCCAGGTGTGTTATAGGACCGAAGACATCCAAAAATATGAATTCAATGCTTATATTTACATTCTCTTATTTTCCTTCTTCATAATTGCTTATTTCGTTAATCTTTAATGTGAATTTATTGCCCTTCAAAACTGCTGTGCTTAATAGATGTAAGAGCCGATTGTGACGTCAAGTGACGTTAAATGACGTTGCAAATTTAAATAACGCAAACAAACATTGCGAGGAAAAAAGTGACAAATTAATTTTAAATGCATATAAGTCAATTTTTACGTTTATTTTTTAGGTGTATAATTTTTTCATTAAATTGAAATAAAACATTTCACATTTTGGTGTTCCTATGGTATTGAAAATGCATTTGGTTCCGACTGTGTATTCTAGCGCGCGGTGACAAGGTTTCGCGTGTGTTATAGAAATTTGAACGTCGTGGATTTCTAATAGATTTCATAAGGAAAACTACACTGAATGTAAATATAATTGCTTATTTCGTTAATCTTAAATGCGAATTTAGCACCCTTCAGAACTGACGTGGTTAATCGATGTAAGAGCCGTTTGTGACGTCAATTGACGTTGCAAAGTTAAATAACGCAAACAAACATTGCGAGGAAAAAAAGTGACAAATTAATTCTTATCGCACATTACGTTAATTTTTACGTTAATTTTTCAGGTAAATTGAAATAAAACATTTTACATTTTGGTGTTCCTAGAGTATTGAAAATGCATATAGTTCCTGCGGTGTATTCAAACGCGCGGTGACAAGGTTTCGCGTGTGTTATAGAAATTTGAACGTCATAGATTTCTAATGGATTTCATAAAGAAAATTACACTGAATGTAAATATAGTTGAATGAAGGAGCAAAACTATTGTAGAAAAAATATTTTGTTTATTTTTCATGTTTATTGGTAAAATATTTGAAACTAAGTTTATATACATTATATAACAGTGAAAATGATAATGGCGTCTGTGGCGTAATCGGTAGCGCGTCGGAATGACAATCTCGGGGTCGTGAGTTCGATCCCCAGTATGGGCGTTGTCGGATTTTCTTCGGTAATGGCAGCCGTGCACACAGTATGCTTACGCATCATAAATCCTTAGAACACTGTGCGAGAATAGTTGGGTATGGGTTATATAGGGACAAACTGACAGGAAGCATAATAATTCGGCATAGTATGCTTACGCTATATAAATCCATAGAACACTATGCGAGAATAGTTGGGTATGGGTTATGCAGAGACAAACTGCCAGGAAGCATAATATGATAATAATACATTATACTATACTTTAGTATGTTTTCTTAGACTATACTAGACTTGTTAATGGATCATCAAACAAAGAAGGGCGTGTAGAGGTATTTGTAAATGGGAAATGGGGCACTGTTTGTGACGATTTATGGGGAAATGAAGATGCAACTGTGGTGTGCAAAAGCCTTGGATATTTAGGGTAGGTAATATATTTTTGAAAAAGATAAATAGCTTTAATATTCAAAACAGGACAGGACAAAGTTTTTTTTCACTTAAAAGTGAATGAATATTTTTTATTTACCAGAATTGCAACTGCTCACCATTCAGCTTATTTTGGAGAAGGACAGGGGTCAACTTGGTTGGATAACGTTAAGTGCAAAGGTACAGAAGCTTCCATCTTTGATTGTGAGCACAATGGGTATGGAGTAGAAAACTGTAGTCACCGTGAAGATGCTGGTGTTACATGTACGTAGGTCCTTGATAGTTAAATGGATGTCTTCCAATAGACAATGATCATAGATCTCGTATTTTTGTTTGGATGTGAATTTTATTCAACGAGTTATGGATTTTCAAACTTTAGATATAGTTTGTATCACGTTTTATATTTGATATATATAAAGATTTTACCGCGATTTTCAGTATTTTTCTCTGCTTTAGAGAGGCATGGTCACACGTTTTAATGCTCCCGGATCCATAGATCCGGGGCGTATATTTTTTTTGGTCCTGTCTGTTTGTCAGTTTGTCCGTCTGTTGTCAACTTTAACCTTCGCTATAACTTTTGAATTACGAGAGTTAGAGACTTCATAGTTGGTATGCGTACTCAACTAATTAAACTCTTTCAACTGACACCAAGGTCAACGACCTTGTGACTTTGACTGTGACCTTTATGCTAAAAATAGCTTTTTCCGAAATTTCGCAATAACTTTTGAACTATAGGAGATAGAGACTTCATATTGTGTATGCGCACTCCTCTAATTACGTTTTTTTCTAATAACACCAAGATCAACGACCTTGTGACCTTGACTGCTACCGTCAATATCCATGGGCTTTTAGCACGTAAGTGCACAGCTTTAAGGATGATTCAGAAGGATTTGGAGATAACGAACAGTATTCAATATTAAAGTCCATAAAACAATACAAAATAGAAGCAGAGCAAACACGGACCTCCGAAACATCAGCGGTGGGATCAGGTGCCATGGAGGAGTGAGCATCCCCTGCTGACCGATCACATCCACCGCGTGCTCCTTCTCATGATTGGGAAATAACGGAAAATCTCTCGTCAATTCAGTTTATAAATGATGGACTAACAATTAGTATGAAAAACGTCAATCAGCATTTGTCTCAATGATAAAGTGTATTTGCTGACAAGGTCATTGTATCGACCATAAGACTTACGAAATGATGACTTTTAACGAGACTGCCCTTATTCTTCATCAACTTGCTTGTCAGTAATTTACCTCGTTTTAGAAATTGTTCATACGTAGAGCATGCTTTTGCGTATCGAATCAACTGAGATATATACACTCCGTATGCAGGTGATGAAGGTATATTGCTGCATAAGTAAGGGAAGTTGAAGATAGAAAAGTTAAAGTCATCACGTTTATCATATATCTTGGTTGTTAGATTACTATTAACGTCTTTTTCAAGTAAAATATTCAAGTATGAAACAGATGTGTCAGACTCTGTGGTATCTTTTATCTCAAGCTCACCATGATAGATCGTATCGACGTAGGAATGGAAATGATCATCATTAATTGACAATACGTCGTCGATATATCTAAATGTCGAGTTGAAAGCCACAGCAAGTGTTTTCTTCTTTTCATGCATAAGATTTTGCACAAATTCTGCTTGATATGAAGTCTGCTTGAGATGATATTAGACTGCCATAAGCACCAATTTCTTATCATATTCATACGATTGAAATTGTTTGTTTTCATGTTTCTAAGATTGTTTCAGGAGAATTAAACACTCTTTTAACCTGGTGTGACGCGAAACATTGGCATCAGGCGAAGATCAAGGTCACTTCCGGTTTGGTTGTCCAAAGCTTTCAAATTGTGATAAATTGGCGATGAAAATGACGCACAGCCTATAGAAAAATGTGTTTAAATGGGTTTTGATACTGGTTGTTAATTTTAAATTGTAATATCAAGGACAATTAACAACTATAATAAAAGTGAGTAAAATGTGGTGCAAGGATGATCCAGATATCAACATTCCAACAGCTTTCCCTACTTTCTCAATGGTCATTTTACCACATTTTTGTGTTTTTAGTGAAACCAGTTTTTAAAAATTAATAATGGTCACAAAAAGATACTATACTGATTACACAAAACACTTGCCGCAAAGTACAGATTAATTGTTTTTAAGCATCGTCACGGAACATTGGTATTCATCGGTGATATTTGATTTTCTATCAACAATTATTGAGAAGACTCATTTGTTGTAATAATTTGAAAATATCATACCATTCTATAAAGTAGTTTTTAAATAAATACATTTATTAGATTGAACATTTAGAAGTTTTGTTAAGTGTATATGTTTGGCAACACATATCAGCCCTCAAAAGAGGCAAAGGTTCGTTACTTATGGCACTTTCAAATTGAACAATCCGAGTAGAAATTCGAGAAGTTTTAATTAATCTAGAATACAGTTTATGTGTACATTGTAATAGTTATCTGTAGTATATCGAGTACGATTTTTATGTATTAAAAATAGGCGTATAATTCATGTTAATTGCACTTTCATCTTGTTTTAAATTATTGGTAAGAATAAGAAATAAAAAATTTAATACGTATTTCTTTGATTAAAAACACCTAAAATGACACTGAAATTGCTGTTACAGTATTTACTTTTTTGTTGATTTTTGCTGATTAAATGTTATATTTTGCTGTTTTCCTGGGAAAACATTCACAGTATAGATGTTAAAAAAGCATTTTTTTTTTATTTTGTACGGCTTAGACAAAAGAACAAATTGTAAAATTATATCCATATGGGAGGCATGCGTATCATTTAGTAAACTCATTGTTTTAAGTTTGTGTGCGGTGTGAAAGGAGGGATAGAGAATATTATTATTAGTTGTTTATTTTCAAAATAATGTTTTGTGCTAATGGCAGTGTCTATATTTTGTTATTGGAAAACCAAAATATGTGTCGGATCAAAAAGTAAAATAGGAGGTGCACAATGGCAATATGTAATAAAGATTCTGTGAAAGTCTCATTAAATTTCATTGAGTTGTATGAGAGGAATTGCGGATAAGAGATGTGTACCGTAGCAGACTGACGGATGTACATCCCGATTACTATATACCCTCCCACTTTTCATGCAGAGGGTATAACAAGTGGGGTTATAATTTGAATAAATTAATACTTATTGAATTAGCTAATATCATATACTTAATTACAAATATATTACACAGCTCACATTTTTTAAAAACTTGATTGACAGATTCAAATTGTACAGTAATAAACAACTGCTGTGATACTTATCTTAACAGGTGCATGGCACGTTTCTACTTGAAATCACAAGATACCGGTATCGCCAAATTAATGTCATCGAGCAAAATTCACATTTTTGAGTTAAAATAACTTTGTAATATATGATACTTATATGTATCTATGAAATTGCTTATCTGCTTTTATCTGCAAAATTACATCGTTGAAAATCAATCTGTTTATTCTTCTCACAAGTACTCTAGAGTTGATATTAAAAAGAACATGGTCTTCGGAGACCAAATCTTCCAACAAAATATGGAATTCTAATGTGCACTAACATACATGTAGTAAAAAAATTGTTTATAGACTGTTCACCTCATCTAGTCATTTCAAATTTCTCCAACAGTTTTTTCTTGATTTCACCCTGAATTTGTTCTTTGACAATTTTTAATCCTTTTCTACCATGTTCTGTCTGTAGAACCATAGATTCGTCTGAAAACAAATTCAATAATTTAATTTCGAGACAAAGGATATGCCGATATTTTAAAGGTGTACATGTACAATGATTCTACCTGTTTTTTGGATTATTGTTTCCTTTTGTTTGACAGTCTCAGGTACTTCAGGTAATTTCGGCATTGTTGATGGATTTGATTTTTGCTGGACCTGTTCTTTTTCTTTGTGCTGATCATTAGCTTGATTCTTTGGAGAGTCTGCCTCTTTTTGGAGTAATGTGTATGACGCCGTATTATCAATTTTAATTTCATCTGGTTCGTGCATTATCAGGGTTTCATCAATGTCGTGATAGATTTGAGTTCTTCTGATGGTAGGACGCCGGGTCACTTGACTCGTCTTTGAAGACAGGCGTTTTACTCTGAAACTGTATACATTCGTAAAGTCAAAAAAGGTAACACAGGTAAACATGATAATCCAAGAATAGAACATTCCAATTTCGTTAATTAACCGTTTACAAATCTTTAAATATCTACTCTCATAAAAACAATGGGGCTATACCATAATCCTTTCGTATTTTGATGATTCTGTTGTATAGAAATTCAAATGTGCTCGAATATGTTTATGATATACATTACAAATTGCACTAAAACGTCTTTTGATTGTTTTAAATAATGTACTGTCTTCATATAACTTTCATGCTTTTATGATATCGATCATAGAAAAGTCACAGAGAGGATATGAATAAATAGCCTTAGAATTGATATAATCATTCGTGGTAATAATTTAATTTCCAACACCTTTTCAACCGACGACAAATCACAATGACAAAGCCCACCAGAAGAAGGAGACCAACAATTGCGATAATACCTAAAAGAGAGAATCAAATATAACTTTTATGTCCGCATGAAAAATGAGAACACGAAAAGATGAACAACAATCAAATTGTACGTGCATGAGTTCATTTGAAATCATGTAGTTTTCTTACTTCATTATGTATGTAATGTGATGACTTAAACTTTTCAATCTTTAACTCTCTTTTGTTAAGTAGTAACTGTTATTCATATATTTAATTACCAGATTGAAGATTTGTGAGAATGAAAGTCTCGATTTTCTTTTGTACGGTTTCCTCTTTAGCTAAAAAATAAACAAAAAATTATTATGTTTGTGAGGTTGGGGAACTGTTCTCAGCTTATATTTCCTGGACGTTTTTCTTTATCAAAGAGACATGGTGATCGTGATTATATATTTGCAAGTTTAAAATATTTATAAATGCGGTTAGCACTGTAAATTAAAGAAGCTATGCAAGTAATATGTATACATGTATGTTTCCAGAAAAAAACCGCATCGTTTTGTATAGTACATGTCAACGTCACATGAATATCTCGATAATTAAATAATATACTGTGAAAAAAGGGATAGTATATTCAGCAAACGAAAACTTTTTCAACATGGGAATTAAAAAAATGTTTATGTAGGATAAGATTTGTTAGATTATATTAATTTAGACAAATAAATGCGGATTTAAAACATATTTCATTACCTTCTTTTTCATGTATTCTTGACAAAGAACCTGAAAATTTAAAACTGAATTTGTATTTCTTTTTTACACTACTTATTACTGATTATGGTGTTTCTATTTGTTTTATATCGGAACAAAATTCAAAGCATAGAAAGTTAAACAAGCTCAACAGAACTTACAATCAAACGCTGAGAATTCTATTTCTCCATATTTTTCTTTGAGACCGTTCTGCATTGCAAAAAGTATCTTTCTTTTATCAATCTCATAACACGTGGATTTGTTAGCTGCTGAAATAACAGCAACTTTTTCGTTGATCAGCTTCCTCACAGACCTGTTGTGAGAATCATCCAAATTATATCGACATCTATCGTATGTCAATTTTCGAGAACCTAGGCAAGTTACTTCAAAGATTTAGAAAATTATATTTTTTTCGAATAAATTATTCCTGGTATCATCTCTTCACTTGTAAATGAAAATTTATTCTTTTAAACTCAATGGGGGATTTTCTTAAGTGATCCAAATATAAACCAAAATAGTTTTTAATTCTCATGGCCACAAGCTCATAAACTGAGAACATACTAAAAGTCAAAATTTCAAATAAATATGACCTATAAAAAAATTTCATAACGAAACAAAACATATTTTTTAAATGGAATATTATACCAAACTGCAAATATCTAATAACATATTATAATAAATCACAAGGTATTCCAAAATCAAAAGTTTGACTTACATTTACATGTAAGTATATGTTCTCAGGCCTGATATCTATTGCAAGTACATACCAGCAAAAGGCATCTTTAGAAACAACAGACAAACTACTATCAAAATTGTTTTTCTCTGTTTTTATCACGTTGTTAGATGCACACGGTGAAGCAAAGCCTTCAAAAAGCAGAAGTATAGAACATTAAGAATAAATCGAGACTTAAACGCCTCATTTAGAATATATAGCTAGTTGTTTAAATATGCAATACAAGGGGTTTTGCAGGTGTTGCTTTTTAGCTCACCTCAACGAAGTTGGGGGGAGCTTATGTGATACCCTCGGCGTCGGCGTCGGTGTCGGCTTCGGCGTTGGCGTCCCGGGTTAAGGTTAAGTTTTTTGGAGCAGTTTTCTTTTTAAGTACTTCTATGTCCTATATTGATTAGACATGCATGGAAGATGTTGCTAGTGAGTTTTATTGTACCAGTCAAAGTTTCAGATGCTGAAATTTCAGCAAAGGAATGACCAGGTTAATGTTTTTGGTGCAGGTTAACATTTTTGGTGCAGTTTTTGGTGTAGGTCTCATTTCCGAGTAACTATAAGCCCTATGTTGACCAAACTTACATGGATGATACATCTTAGGATGCATACTACCAGCCTTGCTTCGGATGCTGAATCTGACCTACATTTTCCGGTTGAGTGAACAGGTTAAAGTTTTTGGTGAAGGTTTCATTTCGAAGATACTTTGAGCCCTATGATGACCAAACTTGCATGGCTGATACATCTTAGGATGTATTCTACTAGACTTGCTTCGGATGCTGAATCTGACCTACATTTTCCGGTTGAGTGAACAGGTTAAAGTTTTTGGTGCAGGTTTCATTTCCAAGTTACTATGAGACATATAATGACCAAACTTACATGGATGATACATCTTAGGATGCATACTACCAGCCTTGCTTCGGATGCTGAATCTGACCTACATTTTCTGGTTGAGTGAACAGGTTAAAGTTTTTGGTGAAGGTTTCATTTCGAAGATACTTTGAGCCCTATGATGACCAAACTTGCATGGCTGATACATCTTAGGATGTATTCAACTAGACTTGTTTCGGATGCTGAATCTGACCTACATTTTCCGGTTGAGTGAACAGGTTAAAGTTTTTGGTGCAGGTTTCATTTCCAAGTTACTATGAGACATATAATGACCAAACTTACATGGATGATACATCTTAGGATGCATACTACCAGCCTTGCTTCGGATGCTGAATCTGACCTACATTTTCTGGTTGAGTGAACAGGTTAAAGTTTTTGGTGAAGGTTTCATTTCGAAGATACTTTGAGCCCTATGATGACCAAACTTGCATGGATGATACATCTTAGGATGTATTCAACTAGACTTGTTTCGGATGCTGAATCTGACCTACATTTTCCGGTTGAGTGAACAGGTTAAAGTTTTTGGTGAAGGTTTCATTTCCAAGTTACTATGAGACATATAATGACCAAACTTACATGGATGATACATCTTAGGATGCATACTACCAGCCTTGCTTCGGATGCTGAATCTGACCTACATTTTCCGGTTGAGTGAACAGGTTAAAAGTTTTTGGTGAAGGTTTCATTTCGAAGATACTTTGAGCCCTATAATGACCAAACTTGCATGGATGGTACATCTTAGGATGTATTCTACTAGACTTGCTTCGGATGCTGAATCTGATCTACATTTTCCGGTTGAGTGAACAGGTTAAAGTTTTTGGTGCAGGTTTCATTTCCAAGTTACTATGAGACATATAATGACCAAACTTACATGGATGATACATCTTAGGATGCATACTACCAGCCTTGTTTCGGATGCTGAATCTGACCTACATTTTCCGGTTGAGTGAACAGGTTAAAGTTTTTGGTGAAAGTTTCATTTTCAAGGTACAGTGTACTATGAACCGTATAATGACTAAATTGCATGGATGGTACATCTTAGGATGCATACTACCAGACTTACTTCGGATGCTGAATCTGACCTACATTTTCTGGATTAGTGGAAAGGTTAATTTTTTATACAGGTTTCATTTGCAAGTAACTTTAAGCCCTATGTTGACCAAACTTACATGGATGATACATCTTAGGATGCACACAAATGGACTTGCTTCAGATGCTGAATTCGACATACATTTTCCAGATAATAGACCTTGTAAAAGTTATGGGTGCAAGTCTATCACCAAGAAACTATAAGGCTTATATAAACCAGTTGCTTAAATGATGCATCAAGGGATGAAAACTCTCAATCTTGCTTCAGATGCTGGATTTTAATTACATTTTCATGATGAAGAACTAGTTTTTAGTTTTTATATAGGTCTATTCCAAAGTATCAAAATTGCATAAATTTTGCATTTTTGGATGTACACTTTTTGTTGGTTAATTGTGTGACTTAATTAGCCTTACTTAAAGACAACACACGTTGAGGTGAGCTCTGTAATCTCTGATTACCTATGTTTATAGTTATTAATTATTTGGGTGATTTAAACAGTTTAGCTCAAAACTAAAAAGGAAAAACAAACAATCAGCATTGGTTTCCTTTGTGATGATTCCTAACTGCATCATTCTAGTCGCTACAGCCCTCCTCATCATATGCAAATCTGTGCAGTGAATATTATAAGTCGTTTCCATATTTGATAGGTGACATTTAATCATTGTTGTAATTCCTCTGAAAATATATTTAAAATCAAAACCTTTAATATCTTTATTTTGACTGAAAAAAAAATCACCAAATTCAATTAAGGAGGCTCTCTACACTACTTTTTGATGACTTACTACACAACAAAATTATGATATCATGACCTCCATTTGGACATTTGACATCTACACTATAAGTGATGCTGTGATTTAATCTAATTAAGGGACTCCGACCCTCAGCCAGGAAGGACAACTCTTTAATTTATAATTTAATTCAAAAAGTCTTTAAATGAAGCTTGAAAATTGAATATTTTCATGCAACAATTTTCATTATATGCCTCTCAATGTGCTTCAAGGTTCTTTAAAAAGCTCCATAAATCACTTCTAATTTCATATCATGTTAATAAACATTGTTATCTAAAAATGCTTTTTCGGGATAAAAATTCCTACTTTTAATTAGACCTTCCTGAGAATTTCGAAGAACCTTGAAGCACATTGAGAGGCATATAATAAAAATTGTTGCATGAAAAGGTGTAATTTTCAAGCTTCATTTAAGGACTTTTTGAATTAAATTATAAATTAAGGAGTTGTCCTTCCTGACTGAGGGTCGGAGTCCCTTAAAATAAACTGTGGGTGTAATGAGCCTCCTTAAGCATGAAGAGTTATAATGAAGAAATATACATACTAATTCTTCATTTTCTTAAATATACCGTATGCATTTTAAGGAAAATGGCCTAACTGAGAATTAAGTATTCTTCTTAAAATCACCTGATCAAAAAAGGTATTTACCTAACTGATGTTGTAAGAAAAAAAGGTTTTACCTGCAATCCTTGTTGTTTTTCGGACATTTTTCAAGTGATTTTTTCATTTCATAGCACGCATTTTCTAGGAAAATTAATTAAATTACTGGTTATTGTCATGTAAGATAAAAATAAACTCATGTTAACAAATGCTTCATATATATTGCAAATATGTTATTTACATTCCGTCATCTTTTAACTAGGAAACCCTTTTATGTTTTGTATAAAAATTTAACTAATTCATGGTAATCTACTGTATTTTATATGCCTGTTTATCCTCAAATGTAACGGGAAAAATATATTCTTTATTTTGATCAAAGGGTATAGGTTAATGTTTGATGCCTTCAAGAGGATGAGAGAACACGCCAATCACAGAAATACAGGCTACACAATTATCTTTGATAGAATGTAAATTTTAAAATTAATTTTAAAAAAATAATTAAGCTCACTTTTTTCGTATATTCTAATACAAACCACAAACAGGAACGTCGCAATAGTCCCACACAACCTCGGAATGAGTAGTAAAACACCAGGGCTCTTCCCTGTCAAAGTTCCTGCAGTAGTTCTCCTGATTTCGACCTAGAACTTCATAGTTATGTCTGTGGGGAGTTTGTTTTGACCATGGTTGACAAGTGTAACCTTTCTTAGTTTGATTTTGTGTCCCCGTGTACAATTGTCCAGGAATTCGACATTCTGGAATAAATGGTATGAACCATTGTAAGAACGGTTTATCAGAAGTACACATTGTTAATTAACTTGACTGAATTGTTTTATTGTATTAGAGACCGCATATGAAACTGTTCAGAGGAAGGTTGTGGATACTTCTTCCTTTCAGAACATCGGGTTTCTCGCATGAAGTGTCAACCTGGTGTCCACTGCTGTTAGTCGTTTGAAGGATAATAGCTTGAGTTCTTATGTACTCTACTGTTCGTTTTAGTCCACAGTCACATCTTAACGGATTGGAACCTAAGTATCTGAGTCAAAGAAATAAAGATAAATAAATATTCATAAGTTTTAGTAATATTTAAAGGAAAAAGTACAAAATTAGTTTAAAATACTATAATACTTACAATTGCTTTAGGTTATTTAAACTTTGGAGGACATTTGCATTTATTTCTTCGATGCTGTTCCCATCAAGATGCCTGAATTTTAAAAAATAAATGTCGTACTTGTAAACATGTGTTCGTAAAAAGAAACTGGAAAATATTCCAAATGTTGAAAAGAGAGTGAAGAAAAAGAAGTTTGAGATGTCTGTAGATTTAAAAAATATCATGCAAACTTAAGGCATGAATTGATAAAAATTTTAAAGTTGCTTTTATGAAAAGTCAGATGTTCACAATACCTCTAAAGAGCAGAAAAATCGAACATAGAAAGAATCAATCGATCTAAACTGTGTTTGTATATTTTGCTTATCTCTACAAAATCTATATGTTTATAAAATAATTCTAAAATTATGTTATAAAGATTAAAAATATGCTAATAGATAATTGATATACTTTGTGGCGTTTTTAAAAAAATAATTTCATGTACAAATGAATGTTACAAGATGTAAAATCTCTCCGATTTCAAATTAAAGTGCACGTATGTCAGGATTCTTAAAGTTTTAAAAGGGTCTGGAAATTTATAACAAAATGGATTCAATGTTTATTGCAGTGGTTATCAAATTGAAACATAAACAACGACATGTAACCATAATTATGTTTTAATTAATATGAGATTGGCGACAAGAATACTCAACTGAAGGGGAATTAACAATCAGGAAAATAGAATGAAAGCGGTCTGTTGGGTATCAGAATCTGGCATGGCAACCTCTGGTCGTGATCACTTCCCTGTACCGACAGGAATAACTGTCAGATTACGGAAGGCATCCTCAGGATGAAACTCTCGTTGATATTTCATTAAATATTACTTGAATTTTGAAATATTTTTTGACATACTAATCTCTTGTTAAGCTATATACCAGATGTTTAGAACACGTAATTTTTCTAAAAATTGTCGTTTACTGATTTTTATTTGAAAATTAAAATAAATATACGACTATAGTTGTGTACTTATTTTAACTTTCAAATAAAAATCAGTAAACGATAAAATTACATGTATCGGAAAAGTTTGAAAAAGTTATTTCCTTGCTTTAATAGTTCCTTTTTTAACAAATACTGACACATAACTAATGAATAAACATCCGCCATCTTATTTATTTATTTATTCATTTATTTTACTTGCCGTCATATTGAGCAAGAAAAATTTTTAAAATGTGTATGATTTTCAGAAATCGTTCTATTTAAAGAATTTATTTATCTTTTTATGCACCCAAATCGATAGAACCGAGGCGTTTATTGTTTTTGTCCTGTCTGTCTGTCTGTGTGGTTTGCTTGTTTGTTTGTCTGCAAACTTTAACCTTCGCCATAACTTCTGAACCATGAAAGATAGAGACTTCATAGTTGGTATGCATACTTCACTAATTAATCTGTATTAAATGACACCAAAGTCAATGACCTTGTGACCTTGACTGTGGCCTATATGCTAAAAATAGTTTTTTTCTTTCTACGAACTTTAACCTTCGCCGTAACTTTTGAACCATGAAAGATAGAGACTTCATATTTGGTGTGCATATTCTACTAATCAAGTTCTTTCAAATGACACCAAGGTCATGACCTTGTGATCTTGACTCTGACCTATATGCTAAAAATAGGTTTTTTCGAACTTTGTTGCCGCCGGGCGCATAGTGTTTCACAAACACATCTTGTTCGGGACTATATTTACAGTTTGGATTTTTTTTCTTTATTTAAAACTCTGTATGATGTAAAAGACTCTTTGTAAACAATGTGAAATCTACAAGATAGCTAAAATATTGATCCTTATACTGAATGTTCTGTATGATATTTATATAAATAAAGGTAAAAAATGAATTTGTTGATGCTTTTGAACAGGACTACAAACGATTAAATTTAAAAACATCATGGTTTAAGGATTATTATGTTTTTATGGATACTTTATTTATCAACAGCTTTTACATCCTGTTGTTTAATATTTGTAAGTTATAGAATAGGAAATAGGAAATTCAAAAAATACACATATAAAAAATTCAATATTTGTAGATCCAAAAATATCATCACTTGAAAGTTGAAAAGTCAATCATTAAAACATATCCAAATAAACCAATAAAATGGCAAGAGTAACATATGAAATGAATAATTATAACAAATTTGTGAATAAATAGCTAGAAAAGTTTATTTACAGATATTTGAATTATCCAAGTTTCTTTCGAAAACAAGTACAAGGTATTGATTTAAGAGAAAGGTTTCGTGTTTTGTGAAAATGATTTGTTTTCCATAGTTTTCATTAAGGCCTAGATAAACATTTAAAGTAGCTGAAAATAGAATTTCAAAATTAATATTATAAAAAATAATGTTGTAAAATTATCATAAATTGTCCCGGTATTCTTTTTTATTTACTTTTTATTTACATTCTTATTAGCTTTTGACTTGAAATAGTTAACGTAGAAGAAAATCATGATCACAAGAATGCAAGGATTTGAAAATCTCTACTTTCCATTATATATATTACATTATTGTTTAATACTTACAGTACAGTTGTATCTCCGGGAATACTCTCCGGTACGTGGGTAAGTCCTCTATTGTCACATCTCACGACCGTCTCGTTACAGGAACATTCCTCTGGACAAGGTGACACTTTACATATCAAAACAACAAAGATAAATAGAATTTGTCTCATCGCGAGTTATACTATTTACTATCGCTTTATTCTACTAACAAGGAAAACTAAAAGGAAGATTTGATTTAATATATAAGCAGCATTTCATTATGCAAAGGAAGGATGTTTTCAGCGCAGCTCTGTTACAACGCACTTTGACACTTTGAAACATTATGCAATTTTGAAAAACAAATTCAAATGTTAAAAAAGAAAATGAAATGATTGTTTGATTGGTTGATTTCTTTTCTTTTTTGTTTTATCCAGTTTTTAATAAAAACAATAGATGTAAGGGTCGATACGTGATAAAGCCATTGCTTCGCATGTTGCCATGAAGAAGTGAGCATCCCCTGCCGACCGCTCACACCCACCATGTGCTCCTTGTCATGTTCATGTTCTAGGGAAAAAACGGAAAAAAATCCATGGACAACTCAGTGTGTAAATAATGGCCTAACAATCAGTATGAAAAAGTCAATCAGCATAAGACTTAATGACTTTAAACGAGACTTGCTTTTTCAACTTTTTTTTGTCCTTAACTTACCTCGTTTTAGAAATTGTCCAAACGTCGAACAGGCTCTTCCATATCAAAACAACTGAGATATATAAACTCCATATGCAGGTGACAAAGGTATATTGCTGCATAAGTAAGAGAACTGTTGACAATTGAAATGTTAAGGTCATCAAGTTTATCGTAAAGCTTCGTTGTTAGATAACCATTAACATCTGTTTCTAGTAAAATATCTAAATATGAAACAGGGGGTCATAACATAAAGCTTGCTAGGTTTTCGGGTCATAAGTATGTTTTAGGCACAATCTTAGGACCTGTCTAAGTACTACTTAAGTATGTCTTAAACCTTAATATAAAACGAACTTAGCGAGGTCTTAGCTAAGTCAAACTAAGTTCACAATTTTCTCATAAATCATGATAGTTTTTCAATTTATATACTTGCATAATAATAAATATTTAGTGAAATACTTTTTTATTATATAAAATTGACGTTTTTTCTTAGATTTTAGTAGATTTTATACTTGCATAATAAAAAATATTTAGTTAAATACTTTTTATTATATAAAATTGACGTTTTTTCTTAGATTTTAATAAGTTCATTATATTTCGTATGAAAATTCTGTTAAAAATTATTATTATTAAAACAAATAAACTCCAAATAATTATTACACGTTCACAATATGGCAAGTGTTCAATGTATATGCATGACTTTTGTTTTATCTCTCGAGGCTGCGATGTGTTCAGTGGTCTTTTGTTGTTATTCTTTTGTTTGACAAATGTTCACTCGCTTTGTCATTCTTGTAGACTTCTTGGCACGAAAATTGAATGTCTATTTACATGTACTTGATAAACAAAAGTACAAAACAATAGGGACATTTTGAATTCTTTCTCATCTCATGTATCAGCGAATATCAACAGGCCAAGGCTGAAAACTGTATGATATACATATAGTATACATATAGTGATATACATGTACTTATTTAAGGAATCACTGTCTAGTTAGTAGAGTATGTTGAGAATGATATAGATAGTTTTCGATAGGCCTGAATTTAGCGAAAGTTACCTCCCGTTGGTCGCCATATTGGAGGTCGACTCGGTGATTTTCCCTCTTTGTTTTACCAAATTTAAGAGGTTGTAGCAGAAATATTTGGTGGAAAATCTTTCATAAATAATTTTTTTTAAATAAAGGAGGCTTCCAAAAATTTATATACTTCAGAAAAGTAATGATTTCTAATTCAAAATAGCAAATATAAGAATTTTAAATTGGTTGAACAATGAAGGAATTCATGAGCATTTGGACCTCCAGTATGGCGGCCAACGGGAAATAACACTCGCTAAATTCTGGCCTATCGAAAACTATCTATTGGAATTAGTGATTAGTAACCCCCCCCCCCCCTCCGATGAAAACTAAAATTCTTATGCCGTTCTTGCCTAGGGATCATGAAACAAACTTAGACTTCAGACAAATTTTCAATCTCTTGTAAAATATTTATTAATTGTCAACATCAGCTCTTAAGGTAAGGTTTGCGTCTCCCTCCAACTTTTATTTTTTTTAATATGCACACATGCCATATATCAATTTATTCAGGGAGATTAGCTTCATCATTTAATATGATTTTCAAAGATATTGCCCGTCCCATTTTTTTAGTAAAAGACACCAAATTTAACGTATTTCATATTTCACCTCGAATATTATTTTCATTGAAAAAATTGATTTATTTTATTAATTATCAAACTTTTATAAATAAAATGACCTGAATTAGTATAATTCATGCTTCTATTATTTAAACTATTAATTTTCCGTTATCAAAAATGTGAAAATTTCGGCAAAAAAGAAGATTTTTCAATTTTCCTTGATAAAGTGAAACCGTTGCCATGGCAACAAAACTATAAAAATCCACGTTTTACATATCTACCGATTCCATCAAATTCCATGAAGTTATTAATTTGATCATTTTAAATAATTTGAACCAAAAAAATATGTATGTCCCCAATATTATTTCCATGGAAACAGGGGCTATATTATGGGTTCGGAACACAAAAATCAGGCTTTTTCTACACTTATAAAGACAACATTGATATCACCTTGTCACGGTGAATGTTAAAGACTAAATGTATTTTTGATATTGTTTTTAAGCAAAACTTGGCCAAAAATATTCAAAATAAAACTCCTTCTGTGCTACAAGATGGTCTAAAAATTTATTCCATGGAAGAAATCTAGTATTTATGGCAATCTTTACATCTGAATGTCCATGAATTATACTGCAACACCTTTAGAAGTACATGTATATGTTTATAAACATACTTCAGAACATGTTGCAACTAACCCAATTAAAAGCCCCTGAATTTGACCTCATGCTGATTTAGTTATTCCAACATGTAGTAATTTCTAGACATCTTCGTAGCAAAATATCTCTATTCAGTTATGTCTCGTGACTATCATTATACATGTATGCCATCTTTTGAGTGAAATGTTGTAAGCATTGCATCCACGAAGCTGCTGTTTTTAGTTGGCAGATATTGTAACCCAATTATACCAAGAGATGAAAGATTTTGTATTAATTGTAAAAATGTCGTTGAAGATGAACATCATTTTTTATTTGTATGTCCTCTATATAAACAACTAAGAAGTGAATTTTGTACACTTTTTAATAATACATGTATATCTTATAAAATTCTTAATCCAGCAGATGTTAATTCTACAAGAAATATTTGTAACTTCATACGTGATGCATGTAATATAAGAAAATCTATGTGACTATATATTTTATATTTGTTTACTGTATGTCTGACTTGCGCCACATGTGGTTTTTGTCAAATTGAATAAATAAAATAAAATAATATAATTAAATGATTTCTTTACTTCGAAGAGTAGAAATGCTATCTTGAAAGTAATGTTTGTTTGCCCTCTCTTGACTCTGGGTAAAATTATTGGGTCGGTAGGTGAGAAAATCTTCAACAACATTTCTTTAGGGGGAATAAGAGGAATAAAAAGAAAAAATACGGCCCTGCATTGAAAAAAAAATTTCAGTCTGGTCATTTTAGTCAGTCGGTCTGGAGAGGCCGACAACCAAACATATCTTAAAGATGGCCTATTTCTACACTTCATGGACATTAGCTCAATCATTGGATTAGGTAGTCTGAGAATCTAAATTGAAATATCAGACAGAACAAAATAAAGATGAATTCTAAGTGACATCAAATCATACTTTAATGAGTTTACAGAGTACTTCTGATTTCAGAGAAAAGGCAAATTCTGCAAAATGGCATAACACTGTCATAAATATTTGTCAAGAACAGGGAAAAAGAAACAATGTTACAGTGATAGATATATCTCCTTGATATCCATGAAATAATAATTTAAATATAACAATTTTTTCTCCTTTCTAAAATCAAAATACAGAAAAAAATTAAAAGATTATAAATGTAAACAATTTTAAAATAAACTACAATTATTTGTGAAAGATTTTAATTTTAGTTGATTACTAAACTGGTCTTATCATTCCTACTAAATTAACAACCTTTCAATTTCCAAGTATCATATTTTAAACTGTTAAATGTTCACTGCAGCTTTATTTATGAAACTCATCAGTTTTCAGAAATACTTATTTGAGCATATTAGGTCCTGGTAAGAACAAAATTTAATGAATAAAAATATTAAATTTAATTGTTCGTGTATTAATTTCCTTGCAATTTTACAAAATAACCCTTTTAAGAAACTTGTTACTTGTAAGTGTAGACAAAAGCAACCTTCAATTAATACCTTAATGTATACATTTATTTTACTTACAACAAATTCAAAGATGGACAAACAGAGCATGCACTGCAATCATCACATACACATACATGTATTTTCTAAATATATTGAAAACAGCATGTATATACTACCAGGTAGATAGGATGCTGTTAAACATTAAATTTTTTTCTATAATCTATAGACATATAAAAAATATGCATTGGGTACAACAAATCATCATTTCTTTTCCAAATCTCCATTGACTTTGCCATGTCTGGTTCAACATCTTAGCTTGATCCATCCAACTTTCTTTAATATTCTTGAGCTGATATGGGATGACCTCTACTGATTTGATGGCACAAATCTTTTAAGGAAACACTGAAGTACTTTTTTTTTGTTCTTATCTATTCCATTAATGACCCAATTGATCTGAAATCATATGTGTTCATTTTTACAATAACATTTAAGGAATTGCATTTTTGGAATTGCATAAGGAATTGGACTGAATTTCATTCACTCAATGAAATGAAATTTCCAATATAATCAATGAAGAATCAATATGAAATTATTGTACAATTTATACATGTAGATTGAATTAGTGAAATGCAAATGCTTGATCAAGAAAATTAATGTTCTTGTCATGCACAATTTGTATTAATTAAAAAATGAGATATTAATTAAAATCAAACCTCATTTAAAAGGTAACTTGAACAATTGAATACCTGTTCCAATAATGTTACAAATATTAGGCCTAAAAAGCAAGGATTTTTTTCATAATTTCTTGAATGAATGCATTTTTATTTTTTGGCAATGTTGGGATATTAGCCACATTGTGACATCCTTGTACCGTTTATTCATCGTTTTTAAATCTGTAGTCAGAAGATCATTCATAACTTTCAGTAAAATGAATAGTTAAATAATTACCTGATGAAAATACTATCAACAATCAAACTGTCAACATCATCATTGGACATGGTCAAATGCACCGTGACTTTTCTTCCCTGTTCGGACTGCATAAAGCATAATACTTTACAGGATACTCTCAGGTCTTTTCTTTTTTCCTTCCCATTCTCACTTAAAATTTTAGTGTAGTGGTGAAGCGAGAAACACACAACAGCACAATGCGTCGATAACTTTTTTCTGATCGGAATGGCCTACAACTTGCCACATTCCGTATCGAAAATAAACAAGTCCTCCTTTATTGGTTCATCCACATGCATCACGCTAATCTCAAAGGCTTTTAAGATTCCTATGCTTTGATTTGTTATAAGACTTTCTCCTGAAAACGTCCTTTGTTTTTAGTCCTAACAATAAGTGACAACAAACATCAAGTATAACAGAGGAAATTCGTTACCGAGATGCTTAGCATCGCTGGTTTAAAGTCGCCT